TGTTCTGGAATTGTGTCAGACAATTTTACAGGCATTTGCATAACTGCTGTAATTTGACTATACTGAGTGTGAGGACGTTTGTTCTTTATATATGTATCATTTGCAGCCGCTTACTCTATGATACCTAAATGTGAAAAATGGATTCTTTCAGCACTTGTAAACATAGATTGTGAGACAAGTTCCATGTAGAACTTCTTGGATCATGAAACAAAAAGTGAACTGACTCTTACAAATTGACAAAGATGAAAAGCTAATTGTTCAGAAGTGCGACAACTGGAACGAATTTGCATGAGGATACGCATGCTAATTTTGTGACTTTTTATTGTGCTACTTTGAGTGATACCTATGGTTCAAGTTAGGATTTGCAACCTTGTTCTCTTTAAGAGTTCAGCTTTAATTTCTTCAAGAAAAAGTGAAAGGAGAAAAACAATGGCAAAACCCCATATCCTTTCATGAAGAGAAAAAGTACTTACAATAATAGAGAATGATCTGAGGATCGCTAACGAATTTCAAGCCAATATTATTGTATATTGCTAATTGGGTGGAATGTGCCTTCCAGAAATTTATAAACTGTAATAAACAATGTACAATATTTCAAAGGTGGTGTCGAGGTATCTTTGTTGAAAATAACCTAGTCAATTGAACATTAAATACGCTTAATTAAGATGCTTCCTTTCTTTATGTATCCTTCTTATGTGTTTCCTGTTCTCACATGTTTTTTCCGAGTTGGTTCCTTTATTGTTGTACTGTTTGAATGGATGCATCACTAATTGGTAAAAAAAGTAAACTCAATAATTGTGCTGTTACATTATTTTTCCTCTAAATTTTAGTTGTTTCATTAACATTATGCTTTCTTCTGTTATTTTAACAAACTAAATGTTTTTATTATGTTTTTTTGCTGTAATACCAGGTTTAGAAAACGGTACAGTTTTCTGTTTGAGGTTGAACTTCCTGCAGAGAAAGAGGTGACTTTTTCAGATGAACATATTTTTGAAATTATTACTGAATGATAGATAGTTGTACTAATGCCATTGGATGTCTGCAGAGACTTCAAAAGTTGATCAGGAAGTCAAAAGACCCAAATGCAGTTGAGGAATTAAAGAGCCATCTTTCTTGGATTGTACGTCTTCACTGAGAGTCTAAATTAAATGTTGCTTCATTGTTTCACTGTTTATTTACTTACTGATATTGTTGTCGTCTTAGTAATGGTTCATTTCAGCTTTTATCCTAAAAAAAAGGAATAAAACAAGTGCACATTTGTGTAATCTTAATTGTAGATTCTTGATTGCTAATCTCAAACTGCGTGATGTGACAAAAATTCATTCACTCATGATTTTGTCATTCACTTGTGATCCTATTCCTGCTTCCTTCTGTGTCCTTGCTCTATAGACTGAGAACCCAAGTCTCATTTCACATATTGAATCACAAGGTCAAGGTTTTGGTGGAAGGCCATCTTTAAGAACAAGACCATGTATTAGTAGTTCTATCTAGAGTGCAGAGGCCTCAGTTATCCAGATTTAACCTCATATGGAATGTGCTAGTCCGCAACATAATATTCTGTGATTCGTGTGTTTTTATGGTCGAAAATGCTTTACAAATTCATTTTCTTGTGCACAATTTACTTGAAATTTGGAATTTTGTGCTAATCATATCTGCTGAAATTATCTATGTTACATTTTGGATGACCTGAAAGGCTAATCATTGTCTAAAACAACTTTGGTTATTCAGGATAAACAGATAAAATCAGGTCCTCGGAAGAGTGCTGAATCTGAGATTTTGTCTGAGCATATAAAGAAAGAAAGAGAAGCAGCAAAGCGTGGGAAACAACCATATTACTTGAAGAAATGTCAGTATACATGCTCATTTGTCTCCTTTTTGCATCTCTATAGGTGCACAACAGTCAGATATTTCTTGTGCTTGTGCTTGTGCTTGTGCATGTGCAAGTGTGCATGTCTTCCTATGCTCTGTGTTTCTTCTTGTCTCATCTAACTTGAATTTTGTTTATGCAGCGGAAATTCGAGAAAGAAAACTGATACAGAAGTACAATGAACTCAAGGTATTATCTTTTCCCATTTAACCTTGGCTGTTTGTCTGAAAACATTACAATTTTCTTAATTGCCTTCCACGTTTTTCTTGAGTACATCACAGGCTGCTGGCAAGCTTGATTCTTACATTGAGAAGAGGCAGAAGAAAAATGCTTCCAAGGACCACCGTTACATGCCCTACCGCAGATCTGGCAATGATGCACAAGAATAGAGGCTTGTGCTCTTGTTCAAAGTCAATGTGCTCTATTTATTTCCATCCCAACCCCGAAAGAACTTTCTGCTACTGCTCATTCTGCAGGATCTTGTGGTGCCCAGGGCCGTGCCGGGGCCTTGTTTGCTTGAATGCCCGGAATTGTTCTTGTTTGATATTATCCTCTTAGAAGAACAAGATCTGGATAGTTGGTCATATATGTTGCAAACTATGGGTGCCTGCTTTGCCTGTCAAGATGCCAAAACTAGTTCTTTGGAATTGGAATTGTATTGAATTCGTAGCAATCGCAAGCAGCAACTACATCACTAAATCTCCTTTTGTTATGTATATATTGCTTCCATTTCTCTTTAGCTAGTGTGGCTTTATGGTGGTTTCCCGTGTCATGTAATGGTGCTTGTTCTCCAAGACCTGTTATAGCTTCTATTAACCTGCTCATGATCAAGAAAGTGGATCTCACCTGCAGCAAATACAAACAGAGACCGGATGGTCTCCATCTAATTAAGATTATGATCTTTTGCTGTTGTTGAAGACGGTAGGGGATTTCGATTCCCCATCATCTTCCTTGATGCCTTCAGCCAACTTCTATAAATGAAACGACTCCATAAAAAGACTAGTATTGACTATTTGTTTCCTAAATAGCATCAAGAATGTTCAAATGAAAAATAATTTTTTTACGATAACTTGGGGCGAACTTTATATATTATGTTCGATGAACGAGAGATAATGTACAAAGTCTTAATATTGTTTTCATGAGTTAGTACAAAGTCTTAATATTGTTTCCACGAGTTAAATCTTCATTATTCGAGTCACAAATGAAAAACATCGAGTATCTCAAAAAATGAAAAGCGAAAAGAATTGTTTGTTGGCTTCTTTCTCTCGATAAATGGAAATCGAATAGAATTGTTTGTTGGCTTCTTTCTCTCTTTTTCTAAATGGATGGGAAGAGAGCTCGACGTTGTTTTTTTCTTTTTTTTTCTTAAATCAGATCTGGCAACCTATTGCTCTTTTCTTTTACTTATGTTGTTTCTGAATGAACAAGCTTCTATACATAAACCATATGAGCATAAGCCCTGATACAACTATGCTAATGTGAAAGTCATAACACAAATGTAATCATACTCATTATT